ATATATATATATATAAAGTCTGTTAGTTCATGTAAATTCAATCTGTTCCCATTAAAAATCAAATACATTGTCATATATATCTTCATTATACAGGTCATTAGTATATATATCTTCATTATACAGGTCATTAACATTCAATCACAACATCTTCTGTTGGCATCGGATCGTTCATATTGGGCATTTTATTGTGTTTTTCTACGATGAGTATTGCAACCAATTTAAAACGTATTCATCACTGGAGATGGCGCTGGTTCTTTCTACTTACAACTGAGGTGGAAGATTGCAAACAAATTCTAAAAAGTACAGAAACCACTTCTGACTTCTGCACTTCGACAGCTGTTAAGAATGTAAATCTGTTTCCTCTCTGCGGCCCGTGTTTTTTATTCACAATCCATGCCATCACCCAAAATGTTTCATTTGGAGATCTCCACAGGGTATAAAAGGTGCAACAAAAAAATCTTCAATTATCAGTTTTGACTTTTCTTGTGTCGACTGCTGCCCCATAATAAAAAGCTTAGACAGTAGGCCCCGAACTGTGATCGCTGTATCTGCATTGAGACTCTAAGGTGTCCCAAAACCAACTGAAATTGCACGTTCAGACCCTTCACACCACATTTGTGCATTGTGTGTCAATAATGTAAGCCAGTGTTGACTGCAAACAGAGCATGTCCCACCACTGAACTGTAGTGGTGGGCGCTGTGAAACTAATCTCACAGTAAATTGCACGGGGGGGACCTCCCGACGTGACTTCGCCTGCTTCTATTCACACACTCCTCCCTCACCAGATCCTGGACCAAACTCTCTCCTCCCCTCATCTCTGCTGTTAGGACAGAAGGATCTTGGCGGCATAGAGCAGCATCCCACCCAGACCGGTGGTGGCGGCGATAGCAATGACCCTCACTAAGAGGAAGTCCATGGAGTCCTCCAGCTTCGTGTGCAACCGCAGCACCTGCCGGTGGGCGTCCTCTCGGCCGCCCGAGTTCTCGATGACGTGATTGGCCAAGCCGCGCTTTTCGTTAAGCGGCATCTGCGCGGCCACGCGCTGCTCGGCCTGCTCCTGGGTCAGGCCGTCCCTCTGCATCAGGCGCGAGAGCTGAGTGGCAGGGTCACTGAAAAGGAACAGACAATGGAGGTTATTTATGGTGCCTTGTTAAAAAAAAAAAAAATAAAAAATCATCCAGAGGCGGTGAGTCATGCTAACAAGGCACACAGAGGGCTGGAGAGAGGTAACCAAAAACTCACAAAAAACTGGGCTTAATGGCCAGTTTCTGTCACAAACAAGCTCAAAATATAATGATTTAAAATGTGAAACCTGTGTACAAACAGTCAAAAAAAGTTAAAGTGACGGGGGAACTGGGGGAAAAGTGAGCGGTGGTCTTACCAGTAAACTACTACAGTGTGGTTTAGAAACTGAGTGAGACGTCTGGTTTCAAAGAGAAGGGGCACATCCAGCACCACGTAGCGGTACCCTGAGAGACAGAAGAAGAATCAATTAGTATCAACACATTTACACTGACAAATAACAGAATCAAGTACATTTTAGTTTATTTTAAGGCACTTGAGATATCTCGAGTTGCTAAAGAATAAATGTAACGAGTGGGAGTCATGACAGGTGCAGTACGTTTTGTTTTTTTAAATTCTGAAGTGATTGCTGCACTACGAACCAGCCGTGGCTCACTTTCAGTAAACAATCCTCCTTGTTCATGGTCACCAGATAACTGAGCCAGACTTCCTCCCTCACCTCTGAGAAAGTAGAGCAGGATCTCTTTGAGCATTGCTTTGTGGATCTCCGGGTGGGTGATGGAGTTCAGCAGCTTCCTCTTCTCCTCGTCGGTGAAGATGAGCTGACCCAGCTTCTGCCTGTCAATCTCTCCGTTCTCGAGCAGGATCTCGGGCCCAAAGTGGTAGACGATGCGGGAATAGGCAGGAGAGTGCGGCTCCACGACTATTACCGAGAAAGGGCGACAACATTTGTTCGTTTTAATTAACAAAGAAATGTGTCAAATTAAAAAAACAAGTGTTTTCGCACATAGATTGATAGACGAAACCAGTGAGTGTAAGATGTTTAACAATGGCACACAAGCTAAAGATGTATTGGAGTGATAATCTAAATGTATTTAGTAACGGACTCAATCACATCTTTAGCATAAAGCCTTATGTTTGTTTTCTCCTACATAAAAGTAACTGTACACTTAGATCTGTGACCTTTTTATCTTCACCACATAACTACATCATCGTCCCTGCAGTCAACAGAGACGGCCGTCGTGATTCATGCATTTGTCTTAATGAACCTCCTACAGGCCTGGCCTCTTTGTTAGCCCTTCAGTATAATAACAAACATTGTTAAAGTCAGTGATGTGAGCCATAGGAGCGAATCCCAAATCCCACATCTGTGTGAACCCACACCCGCTCCCGTGACCACATCACCCCTGTTCTCCAGAACCTCCACTGGCTCCCCATCCCACAACGGATCCAATACAAAATCCTTCTCCTCACTCATAAAGCCCTCCACAATCAGGCCCCCTCCTACCTCACCGACCTGCTTCACCACCACACTCCATCCCGTCGGCTCCGCTCCTCTGATGCCAACCTCCTGTCTCTTCCACTCAGGACCAAGCACCGGACATGGGGTGACAGAGCCTTCTCCATATCTGCCCCCTCCCTCTGGAACTCTCTCCCCAAACACATCCGAGACTGCACTGACCTTTGCACATTCAAATCTCAAATCAAAACCCACCTGTTCAAAACTGCTTTTAATGTGTGACCACTATTGTGTATTTTATGTTTTTAGTGCATTGCTTTTATATATGATGATTTTAATGTAAAGTGTCTGAGTTTTATGAAAAGCACTATATAAATAAAATGTATTATTATTATTATTTGAGGGTTCAAGCCGGATGAGGGGGGGGATGTTCGCCTACCTTTCCTGGCCACAACATCTGCATCAATAATGGGGCACCCAAGCTCCCGCAGCATTGAAGACACGGCGCTTTTCCCCGAGGCGATGCCTCCCGTCAGCCCCACCAGGAACATCTTGAGGCAAAGACACGGAGAGATGTATTCAAGCAGTGCAGTAGTAGTACTGTTACTGCAACTGTTTATGGGGACGGAAGAGAAATGCATTAAACAATTAATAATGCTGGCATAGAAACAACTCGATTGGCTAAAGCTGGATTTGTTTGTAAGTAAGAGCAGTGCAAAAAAATAAAAAAAATATCAGGGAACTTTTTCCTTCAAGTGGAAATAAATAAAAGTAAATAAAAAAAATGACAAACAGGCTAATAAAAAAAAAAACAGCAAGTTATGTATATACCCACACACAATAGTGTCAATAAACAGGGAATTGTTACAATATTTGACAAACAAACACCTAAAATAGAGAACCATAAGTGCCAAATATTTCCAGATTAAAAAACGTGTCATGAGGTATAAAAACACGCCCCCTGCTGAGGAGGCGTTGAGCTACACGCAGGTTATGTATCATGTCTAAGAAGTAAACCAGGGTCTGTTTGACAGCTTTGAAGTTATTCTTAACTTAACACCAAAATAAACCCCGAACAGGCTTTACGGCTTCTTAACGTTGGAATCAACGAGAGAACGACTGGTTGTTTCCAAACACATTTAAGTTACTTTGTCTCAGTTATCAAAAGACTTCCTTTAAAGTATTAATGCTTTTTTTAACTTGCCTCGTGATCGTGTTATGCTCCTTTAATTCACCGAATGTGCAGCGCGCGAGTCCAGTCAGGTGTAGAGCCACAGTGGTGGTGCACTGCTAAACAACCAGGATTGCTAACAAGCTAACGTTAGCACAAGTCTTGGATCAGAGTCGCTATAAATATGCAATGAAACGAGGTGGCAGCCATTTCCGCGTCGTCCGGTTAAACACGCAATTAAGACAAAAGGTTGGCGACAGTCGTGTTGTTAGATATTGCTGTCTGCAACTCTTGACTGTTACACAACTGATTGCTAATGACCTAGCTTGACGAGTGCCACCTCAAACATCTTCCGACGTTTGTTACATTAGGTCCGCCTCGCTCATTGAAAACCAAACTCAACGGCAGACACTTTTTTTTTCCAAAAACGTGTTTATTTCACAGCAAAACAAAGATTTGCATGAATGAAAATACAAACAGTTTCATGAAATAAAAAAAGTAAATCCATAAGACGAAATAAACAATGTTTTCGCATCAACAAAACATATTTCTGCCAAGTTCATTCTCCTGTGAGAACCTTTTCAGCTTGTTGATCTGTACTTTGTTTTGGCGATGGCATCTCTGACAGTACAGGCAGACCGGAGGAGTTGCGGGAATGTTTGGACCTTTTCCCTCTGTGCACCATTTCACCCCCATTCTCCCCTTCCTCCAGCTCCAGCCGGCCTCTTTTCACAAAATGGTTTATTCTGGACTCCAGGCTCTCGCAGCACGGACGCTCCAGCAGCGGCCGGTAGTTTTTCTGCCTGCTGCCTTCTACTAGCCAGCAATGGTTAGAGGACACTCCACCTGTGGATGGAAACAAGTGAAAAAATGTATATACAGTTGACATTCTGATTGGGTATAATAAACTGGGTCCAATAAAAGTATTTAAAGGATACATAGGGATGTAATCTGTTAACAGGGAAGTTATCTAATGCATTAAATGGAAAAAAGTATACATGGTCTGTTGTGGATGTTGTTCTGGGCAGATGTTAGATTCCAAAATTATTATCCGTCAGGCTAAAACTAAAAGTGTTGAGGTTGTCCGGGTCCGTTTCTTTCTCACCTATGGACTCCAGACCCTGGATCATCCCATGGAGGATGTGGGTCCTGACTGCACTCTGGGTCCAGTGTTGTATTAGTGCAGACAGGACGTGGGTCGCCTCTTCGGTCTCCTGTTTCCAGCTCAAACCTTCAAAGTGGCAGTCGTGCAGCACCAGCGGGTAGTCTACCGCCATGCTAGAGACAAGACAGGAGATGCAATTGTAGTTTCACTGTTTGGTTGTTACGATCATTGAATAAGCCGGAACATAGGATTTATTTTTTTAACTTGTGTAGGATATGGAAAACGTCATATATTCACACCTGTATTGGGGCTTCCTGGGGTTGCTCTGAACATCCAGGAGCTGATTAATTATCTCCGGGGCTTCCAGTTTCTGCCCAATCAGGAGAAGCAGTGCCATCATGCATCGTACCTGCAGCATGACACAACAGGAAATTTGCTGCAGTAAGAGACTGCAAATGTCATTGATCATAAATGTATATGGAACGGCTTTAAATTAACATCAGTTATCGTCGAGCAGAGCTGTAAAACCTATAGAGAAAAATACCTGGTGGTAAAGGAAGCCCAGTCCTTTGATCTCAAATATGAAGAGGTCATACTGGTCCGTGCTGGGGATGAGCTGAGGCCGCACAGGCTGGACGGATGCCGACAGGATGGTCCTCTCAAACTGCAGGACTCCGTTGCCCACATCCATTTTGCACAGGTTACGATAGTCAAAGGTGCCCTCGTATCTGTTGGGTGTTAAGAGGCCCTAAAATCAGAACTGTGACTTCGAGGTTGTGACACATCAGGGTTCAACGCTTTGTGTTTCCACCCACCTTTTTGCAGCATCTGCCATCGACGTCACATCCAACGATCCGCGGGGGAAGTAGTACCGGTACGTGCGTGACTGACAGTCGAAGCGTGCGCTGAAACCCTCTGCTACTGGTGCCCAGTCCAAGATCCTAATGTCCTGGGGCAGGACTCTGTTCAGCATCTTTACATATGGAAGCTCAGAGGCAGTAGCTTTGGTCTTGGCACTAACAACAACATGTTCAGGGACTGCAACGCCCAGTCCTCCACAAAACTGTGTGGAGCGCAAATCAATGGTTACGACCTGTGGAGAAAAGACAGTGTTAGTGTACGCAGGCTGTCATGTTGTTTTTGTTTATGTTGCTGCCTAATGGTACCGTTCCTCATTACTTAAACTCACTTGGGAAAAAGCACTGACTCCTTTATCGGTACGACCACACCGGTGGTAGTTGGAGGTCTGTCGGTCCTGAACCAACCGTGTCTTTAGCAAAGCCTCAAAGAGTCTGGCCTCCACCGTGTTGTCCGTGTTCTCCTGAACCGCAAACCCCTGGTAGGACCATCCCAGGTAAGCCAGCCGCAGAGCCACGTGGCGCCGAGGGTTGGCAGAGAAGTCAAAAGGACGCTCCTTGCTCGCTTTCTTACCCTTTTTTCTGCTGCTGGTGTTGGTATTAGATTTACAGTCTGTGTTTTCATTCGGGGATGGATCGGACATCAGCTCTGTGTCATCTCCAGCTTCACTCGTCTCCTTCAGCTGGGACTTGAGCTTCTCCAGGTCGGCCTCCAGCTCCTTGATTCGCCTGATTAAAGCCTCCGACATGCTGCTCAACAAATAACAAAAAGAGGATAACTTTAATTTAATTTGAACATACACTTAGGCCTACTCAGCTAGTTGTTAAATGATAAATATAAAATTAATTAATGTATTTTACTCAACAGTGTCAAGCCAACTTAAGCAGTATATTTTGTACTTTTGCTTCATTCCCAGTTGGATGTTAACACACTATTAAGCCTTAACAGCTATCGTTAGCTGTAGGTCCAGCCGACTAGCTACACGCTACATTTACAGTCTGTTGTTAGCTTAGCTCGTGTGGTTTGTTACACTGCAGATATTAAGGCTGGTGCTGGTCGTAAATAATATCGTAATACAACTGTTACTTTACCTTTTGATTTTAGTCTCAATGTTACTGATGAACTTTTCTTTTCTTCAGTTTTTCTTGGTTGATGGCGCACACATTACTTTTCGTGGTTGTCGGACTCATTTTGAGACCGGACGCATTTCCGGAAGGGGGCTTCCGGGAAATGTAGTTTATTACTTAAAGTATTACATCCGTGCTTGATAACAATTATTTCTCCTAAACGTATGACTTATTAGATCTACCCAAAGAAAAATATTAATTAACAGAAGACATTTTCTCAATAGATTTTTTTTTTTTGTCTTGTAAAATATAATTGGACCTCTTCAGCCCTCTTCAGGTCTGACAAGGACAAAAATGCTGTGTGGATGAGCTGCTCAAAACTCCTTGAAATACATGTGATGGACATGTTTGGACACAAGCCAAAGAACCAAACAGCAGCATGCAAGAGGGTCCTGTTCATTAAATTCAACTCCCTGTGGTTGATATTCTGTCCCTTTTTTCCCAGTTTACTGATCTCATTTTGTGGCTACCGCTTATTATTTGGAGTTACTGTGAGTATGCTACTCAGACCAGATTCAAAGATGGCAATAACATGATGACCTGTGGCTCTTAGCCTCGACCGCAGACATGAACCACTCAACCAGAACGTATCACACATTTATTGAAAATATTCCCAGTAGCATGAAATTTAAACATGAGACGATTATAACAGGCCATTATAGACCAAAAGATTTCCATTTGTCAGTAAGAAAGAAGCAATGCAGGGTTGTTTTCAAACATATCAGTGACTCGATCCTATGAACTACACCTTTTATCTTTATGTCAAATTTGAGAAAGAATAGACAAGAAAAGCAAATAAAACCGGTTAAATGTGTCCGTGATGTGAGAAGTCGGCTGTGCTGGGCCACGATGACGCATCAGCTCATGTTTTCGTAGCTTTTTCGTTTTATGTTCAGACAGAACAACACCCCGGCAACTATTCCAAGAACCTGTAATGGGTAGAAAAGGTTGTAAGTTACTAGCAGCAAATGAACTCAGAGACGGGTCAGAGAGGTTCTTTTCTTTGTCTGTGAAATCAAATTAATTCTGGACTTCACCACCTGGGGCGAACAGGATGAGATAGGCTTTATCATTATTCCTGCCATTACTTTTCAAATGTCTGCATTACCATTGCTTACATGAATATCTTACCATGCAAATTATTGGAAACTGCATATAGATTATTTTGTAAATGACTAAATCATCCAGGGAATTACATGGGATTTTTGTCTCTTTTGATATATCAGCTATGTATTTACCTCTGTGACTCCAAGACCAATGCAGACAACAGCAACCCACAGCAGGTTTTTCAACATAAAGATCTCAATGGCCCTGACACAACCCTGAGGAGGAGCAAACGGTCACGAAGTACGTCATGTGTCATTTGTTCACAGAAACGACATGAAATGGCTGTGAACTTTCTCCTTGCAGACCTTTGTGTGTACCTTTGCGTGTGCTTTCTCCTTGTCCTTGCCACATTCTGGACTCTTCACCACGCAGCAAGAATCTGGCACGGCATCGTGGTCCTCCCAGCCCACACTGCTGGACCAGTCGGAGGGGCCGTGTGCACCACAGCACCTGAACTGTAACATGGATCACGACACACAAAGAGTGCACTAAGGCCACGTCTATAGACGTTGTGAAACTGTCTATACATGGTGCAGCATAAAGCCAATTAAGAGCACATATCTGCATATGGCTGTTTCCTTCAAAGTTTATTGTGTTGAAATTTAAGAAAAGTGGGTTTTCCACTTTTAAAATGAAGTGCCAAAACCATCATCTGTGTACAATAGATACAAATTTTAATTATATATTTTTTGGAGATATTATTCAGGATATAATTGCTTCTCCATTAATGATTGACTGAGCACTTTACTATTATCAGAATCATTGTCTACAGTTTCATTTTAACGGTGCATAATACGAGATTGGGAGCATTTCTGTTGCCTCTCGACGGCTCTCAAGATGGCGACGCCTGCGCCCGCGGCACATAGCTAACAGTGCTAACCACGAAAAAGCCATGGCAAATGTGCTGTCAATAGTGGCTTAGAGTATTTATGTCCCTGGGTTCATGTTGCCTCTTGCAAATACAAAACATAAATCTCTGCGGATCACCTTTTCCTGGATTTTGTCGATGGCGTGTCTCTTCTCTGGGCTGTAGTCATGGATCACCGTTTGTGCTTTGTTGTCGATAGCGCTCTTCATCTTTAGGACAGTCTACAGGGATAATAAAGAAGATTGGCACCAGAGCTTTACTTATTGCAATGGCAAACCACCTCTTGTCCGCCCTTAGGAGCACTGTAAATGTTTTGGATTAAAGCGTCTCACCCTTTTGCCGAACACGTAAAAGACAGCCCCTGTGAGTATCTCCAGAATGATAATGATGATCAGGATACAGATGAACTAGTTCATAAAGAAACTGAGTGAGCGGCGGTTGAGGTCATGTCCCGTATCAAAAACCTTTCAACAAAACTGTCAGTGACACATTTATGAAACATTCCTGGTGACTGAGCAGAGTCTTCATTTATTCATCTGAAAATAATAACATCCATCATCGTGCCAAAACTGTCCCAGAAACATGCTTTTAATCAAATCTATGAGTAGACATTTACCTCATTAGGGAGCATTATGTTACTTACACAAGACACCATAGACTTATTATTAAAGAATGCCCCCAAATCGCCCAACACGGAGACGAGGGTTATAGCGACCCCCACTGCAATGAGGACTATAGCGATTTTAGACAGGCTTTGCAATGCAAAAGCGCCCAACAGCGAGTATGTGGAGTGTTCCTGTACTCCGATGATGATGAGAGCGACCCCAGATGCCTGAAAAAGAAATTTAACAACGGGACATTAATGCAGAGTGCTTATACGACAACATTAAACCCAATTCTGCTGCTGATTTCATGCTAGTTCACTGCCAACCTGCTGCAGTGTGGAACTCAATCATTGCAAAAAGGAAAATAGAAAGTGTGTCTAATTATTTGCTGATAGATTGAGGCGGGGCATGTTTGCCATAGTGCGATAAATTCAATGTAGCCTTCAATTCACACAATTAATACTGTTTTTCTACTACAACTAATTAATGTTACTTTATTCACTTAATTTCTTCCTATTCATTATTTGCATCGTCAGTGTTATCACTCATGTTCCAAACACTTTCATACATTAAGAGAATTATCCACATTACTTACCAAGAAAAGCAGATTGAAGAAAACAAAGCAACATTTGACGCTGCAAAACGTGCACATTGTTCACACTTGCTGCAGGATATCCAAGTTTGTAATTTAAAAAATCGAAAAATAAAACTGAGGACAGAGACAAAACAGCAGACGTTCCTCAGTCTAAGTGGAAGAGATACAGACTGAGCACCTAAATGTAATTCAGTAGCGAGTGTGTCATATTAAAATGAACAGGCAGCCTGATAAAATTCCAACTGATATGGACACACAACGTCCCTGTTACACTATTTGAATAGTAACATTTATGAAGTGCGAAAAGCACCATAAAATATGATAATATCAGGTTATAGCCTGTATGTGCTTTAGGAATATAAAGTGAATAGTGGCCCAATGGATGAGCTTGTTTTGAAAATATAATAATAACTATCATTTTTCTGACTCTCATTTTAAGGGCACCAACGCCGGTTTGCAAAACTCCTAATGGGTCAAAACAAAAGCCAAAGCTCGGCATCACGGGAGAGGCCTTGTGACATGTCTTCAATAACCGAGAGAAGTATTGTTGCATGTTTTAAAAATTGTAATTTAGTTATGCTAGCTGTGGAAAACTTTCCCCTTTGTAGTTATGAGGATCATTTTTCAAAATAAATCCCCATTAGTATATCTTATGAGCTATTCTGTCACATTTTACTGTGCTGTTCAATTATTAACTAATTAGCTCCTCCGGTAAATCCCACATAAAATATTTGATAAACATACAGATAAAATATCAAGAGAATATGAATCTTTATTCCGTTTCTTTTCCGTCGCAGTTCAAAGTGTCTGAGCACATGGAGTCGTCTATACTGGAACTTGCTTCGGGGCTTCTTCCATCCTTTTGAGGACCGAGCTTCTCCACCAACATGAGCAGCCGCAGGAAGCCTAACCCGACTCCACCGGCTGGAAGAGGACCGAGGCCTCTGGCTGCAGCACAATAATCTATCGTTTTCACAGTGGAGTGAGTGGCCGGGATGCTTGTGACACACTGCCAGTGTATTCCATTCCCCACATCTCTTTCTATCCATCATGTCTTTTTCTCTGTCCATCTCAGAGTTTTTATCCCCCATTTTTCTCCCGCTTGCTTAGAGCTCAAGCCAGGGTGCATCAGGCTGTGACGGACCATGCTGCTTTCTAATTCCAGACAGTGTCAGAACTTTCTCTGTCCTCATTAACCACTGAATCACAGTAGGCTCTTTGAATGTATGCGAGGGAAAGATCATGACAAAACAGACTGTAGGTTGAAGGTTCTTTTATTCAAAGGACATACACAGTTTATCTGCTATAGAGGACAAGCCATTTACGTGTACACACGAGTGTGTGGTTTTATCTGTCTTCTGCTCATTACTGACACGAGGCACACGAGGCCGTATCTGCTTGGTCTTATTTGCCTGCAAAGAAATTTCATGCTGAAGAGACAGAAGATGAATATTTTTGATAACAGTTGAGCATCAGTTCTCATAAATGCAATCTATTTCGTTGTTTTCAAACTGCTGTGGACTTTATAGTGGTTTTGTTTTGACCGTCTTTTGCACGGTCACCGATGCCGTTTGACAGATTTGCTCAATTCTGCAACGTGAGGTGTACAACCACAGGAGGGCCCCGTTCCACTTTTTTAAAATGGGCATTTGGGTTGCCATCCCTTCACTTTAATGGAGTGATGGAGTATGGCATGTGTTTGAAGGAGTTTGTGGGAACAGGATAACACCGTGCGTGTCTTGAAGGACTTCTTGGGAAAAGGAAGTACAACGATTAACATAGTTGGGGAACTTTGTAATTCCCACTTTTCCTGTTTTGAATTCCACAAGACTTGGTAGAAACCTTGTTTGATTTCCGTCTGATAAGGATAATTGTCGAGGAAAGAAGTGGGAATGTGGGGCTATCATCAGCTCATTGTACAATAATGACTTTCTAGCGTGAAATGGTCCGAATACGGGTACACAAAAAGTTCAGCTAAATGCATTCAAGTTTGTATAATATTGTGATGTAGCTTTTTACCTTATATGGCTCGTTCTGAGGAATGTGCCAAAGCTTAGAGGACCTGTCCTCCGCAGTAGCAGCACATTTTTCCAGGGTGATGTCATGTGTTTTGATGGTCTTTTATTTTTTATCTTTAGACATTTCAGATCTGACTCATCAGTTATTTCGTCCAAATGCATTATCTACATTTTTGGTTAATAAATCAGCCTGAAAAGGAATATGCTTCTACAACTGCTCTCTGCCTTACATCAGTCTAATTTATTTCTTGAACCACATCTGTGTAAAGTAAGCTGTGCATGTGTGAGCAGCATTTGTGACTTTTCTTTATATCCGAGAGCTTAGAAGTGGACAGCGTGAGTCCGTTAGCCAGTAAACAGTTAAGCTTTGCTCCATATCTGGGTCATCAATCAACATGCTCTCAGGGTCAGGGGACATGTTTGTAGTCTAAATGACGTGCCTCCCCCCATATGGTACTACTTACACATACCAGTCCATGCAACTGTTTCCTTACATTCCTGCACTGAACACTGTTGAGTGAAACGTGTCTATTTGGAACCACAACATATAAACACATTTGTTTGAGGGTAGCTTTTAGAAAACAATGTCATGCAACCACTAGTATTGTAGCATTGCGTGTTACACAATAATCGTTTGTTTGTCTTAATAACTAATCAGCCACATTTGTTAATTCCGCATTCCAATGCCAAAATGTAATATTCATTTGTGGTTTATATCAAAGCCACATGTCAATTTACTTGGATCACAACTTGAAAAACTTTAACAAGCATAATAATATTATAAAAAAGTAAGTAATTATAGACTGTAAATTATCTAAAACGGCTCATAGGCTTAGTGTACTGAATAGCACATTGACTAACAAATAAATACACAACGTAATATAGTTTGAATGAACTTTATTGATCCCCAAAAGTGAAATAATTTCACCAACAAAACTAAAACTTAATATGAGCAACAATCAGAGAAATGCTCATGGAAGACAAAATCTTGTATTCTGAAAATAAAAATAAAATTCAAGTCAGTGAGGCTTTTACAGACAGTGTAGTGTAAAAGTGCTTTTCAGAACAGTAGCAGAGACAAAGAAAACTCATATCAACTATCTTCCCTTGCTTTGAATATGGATAAGAGAAAACCAGTCTGTAGTCAACGATCATGCAACAAAAGGTAAATGAGAGCACACCTTGGAGACACACCCAGCCAGCAACCATCTCTATTTACATCTCAATGGAATTAAAGGCGTCTCATTTACATGTGGAGCTTGCTGTTTGCGGTCACCCCACTTCTCCACTTTCATTCAAACTCAAAAGGCCTGGAAAGGAAAAGTCCCTTCAGTGATTTCTCTACATGTCGTCCGTCGCACAGCAGCGGAGTGAATGCACGCAGAAAGCTGCCCTACAGGCTTCTCTTGATTCCTGCGGTGACTCTGGCAGTGTTGCACAACCCACCGAGTGTTTAGAGGGAATAGGTGTTTACAGGGGGTAAAATGGCTAAAAGAAGCTGACGGTGGGAATGTGCAAGCACGTTCCGAAAGGAGAAGCAGTTTTTATGAGGAAAGCCACCAGGTAAAAGATGCTTTTTATACATCTTTGGTGTTTCTTTTATCTCTGTCCACCTCAGTACCCTCTGTTTTCTCTTCAGCTTGAATGTTTTGTCTCTCCCACACATTTCCTGACTCTCTCATACTTTTGGTGTCTCTCTCCTTGTGATCTCAGTGCAGAGGGACAGTGGGGGGCTGGACATGTGTGTTTTTAATTGGCCTTCCGAAAAACAGAGCTGTTTCCTGAGAACTGGGGGGGGGGCCGAGGGTGGGCAGTGATTTCAGAGGCCGACTGAAAACAGAGGCTCCTCCTGTTAGCCTGTCAGAAGATGTGTGAATAGGGACAGGACGACTTTTCAACACATCGGCTTTACATACCACAACCAAGAGAGGAAGAGGAGGCCTGACTGATGAGTGGATATTCCATTTCTACTTCGGGATGGAGAAGGATGGCGGGAAGCCAAAGACCTATGTGTCCACTTTTCGTTTGGCCCTCAAGCCTCAAGCCAGAAGTTTCTGTGTGGAGGAGCAAAAAGAGGATGGGCCGGATGCAACCAAGAGGACGTTCATGGGAAACAACAAACTGGGAGTCTCATCATCAACAGGTAAAGACGAGAAGAACAGGAGAAAAGTTGGCTTTTTAATGCGTCACTCTGATTTCTATAACAGAACTGGAATCTATTCACAACATTTACCACATTCGCACCTCATCTAAAGCCTCAGACCCCTGCAGCCCTCATGTTTTATACGTTTTTAACTTGAATCCTTAACATGCGGGCATTGCAAAAGCCTATCAGGGGAACCAGGAATACTGGAGTCTGTTAGATTGCACGCATACGTTGTGGTTAGCTCCCCTTGGGCTACTTCTCAAAATAGTGCTATATATCACGCGATTATTGTGAAGTGTGTCGTTTTTGTAGTTACTGTTGTCAGAAATATCTTTAGGCACTCAGGGTGCATAGGGGTGACATGCAAACTGCCTCTCCCCCTTCCCCCCCCCCCCCCCCCCGAAATGTACACACACCAAAGTACATGTGCGTGTTTGCACACACCATCTGGTGGGGAAGTCTTGTAAACACCATGTCAAATTCCCAACGCGTGCACTCACAACTAACATACTCCAGTAGACACAGCAACAAGTAACTGATTAACTGGAACTTAGTGCTGCTCTGCCTGGAGGTAAAACAGATGAATACCATACATCCACATCAGGCTGCAGTTCTTATATTTTCAGACTGCATTGACATCCACCACACGGTGCATTTCAAGTTTGTCTATAGTTTGATCAGTCACGTCATGTCTGGGGCGGAAAGGCTCATAACTCTCCACTAAAATATTGGCTAATGGCTTTTCCTGGTTGGTCAGCGGTAGAGGAAACACTCATCTGAAAACTAACCCATTGTACCAAACTTCTCCACTCTGCTCAGACTCCAGACGGACACCCGTCCAGGTGCTTGAGACGCCTCACTTCAGACAACCGCTCAGGGACTGTACAGTCTGTGAAGGGACGGATGCTTCTTTTCAAGGTGTTATCACAGGAAGTCGACCTCTGAGCGTTTCCTGGCTACACAATGGTAAATGTCTGATTATCAAACCTGAAAGATGTCCACCCCCACCTCCATTATGAGCAAGGGTCGAGCCACAACATCCTGTATTTAGAAGGATATTTAGTAATCAGTCCTCTTTTGTCATGTAGGTAAGAGGGTGCACTCAAGTAATACTTCCTTCCAAAATGGTGTGGCCAGTCTAACTCTGAGTCAGTGTTCACATGGAGATGATGGGTTGTACACCTGCGTAGCTGAGAATACTGCTGGGAAACGCTCAAGCAGCGCTGTGTTACATATCACAGGTAAAGCAGGGGTAAAGTGTCAAGTTAGAAATTGCTCACACACATCACATACTGTCCAACCTGTCCTTGAATGAATCCTATTCACTCGATCTGTGTACAGTAAACCTGTTTCTTCTTTGTTGCTGATAACAGCAACAAAGGAAATCCTCAGAACAAGCAACCAGCTGCACAGTGAAGTCACGTTCAAGGTTGGGTCACCCAAAAACACAGAATTGTCTTCAGCTTCTAAAGAGAGAAGCCAGCACAGAGAGCAAGAAGACAAAGGTACAAAGCAAACTTATGTTAAGCTTCCGAAAAAAATATTTGTAATGTTGCACTTCTTCCTTCTTTCTGCCTTTCTTCTTGCTACATATTTTAAAATGTCTTCTTCCAAATAATGCAAATGAATCATAAATACGCTGACAATAGAGGTTTTGTTAATAAACATACTTATTGTGTTTTAAACTTCACTCACCTGTTGCAGCCAACCAACACACATGTTTGTGCTTACTAAAAATGGAGCCTCCCTTTTTCGCATTGGCTGTCTGTTGATTGCAGTGCTTCTGCAACCAAACATGACTGCTCGCATGTGATTGGTTAGACACTTCTCAAACCTGCGTATAATGGCACACACCTATAAATCCACCTTCTTCTTCAGTCCCCACAGCTAACAGAGACACCAACCTGCAAACAAAAGTCCCCAGCAAAGGTGAGTAGAGGGCACTGCAACATGAAAGCTTGAAATGTATTGCACATCATGCATGCGGTCATGTTTTGTCAATTAAACCAACTTTGCTTATCCCCAGCACCTCCGGTGGAGTTTGTAGACCCACCAGAGCAGGTGGAGGTTCGGGTAGGAGAGCAGGCCCGACTGCACTGTGAGTTCAGGAGCAGCTCTGTCCCTGTGGCCTGCTGCTGGATTTACAAAAAGAACAAGGTGGATACTGGTCCCGGTGGTTGTTGGCATTGTTTGATGCATTACATTCTCACTTATGAAATTCTGCACCAGTAAAGGCTCATGTCTTGGCATGTACTTCCACCTTGCTTCCTCTTCAGGTGGTGGTCGGAGGGCCGAGGATGTCTGTCCGGAGCAGTGAGACACAAAGCGACGTGGAGATCTCTCAGGCCTGTCCAGAGGACACCGGCTCGTACACCGTCGTAGTACGAAATGTGAAAGGCTCTGCCCAGCATACCGTCTCCCTCGGTGTCATTGGTAAGACTCACTTTGGTCTACAGTTAGTTATTTAGCTATCAGAGTTCTCCAGTGACTTGAGATGATGCAACACTGGCATTTGTTGTTTCTTTAATGCAGGCACAGATATGAAGGAAGGAAAACGCTCCAAGAAGCACCAAATTATGCTACTTGACTCACCCGTTGCATCGTCTCTTGGTATATGAGAAAATATATATGTGTTCTTGAATTTTTCCTCAGACCGGCCCGACCCACCAGCATCCCAACCTGTTATTTCCCAGCTGTCCACTGAGTCCCTGGTCCTCTCCTGGACGGGTCCCAGCTACGACGGAGGCACAGCCGTGCTGGGCTACAAGGTGGAGGTCAGACAAGAGGACCAGGACAGGCCCGAGAGCTGGACTGAAGCAACGAGTCGTTGTAAAAACACATCCTACCACGTCCTCTTAGGCCTAGAGCCTCATGGGCAGTACCGCTTCCGTGTCAGAGCCTACAACTCAGCAGGGGTCAGCGAACCAAGCCAGGAGTCTGAGTGTGTCAAGATGGCGACTAAAGGTAAGTGATATGTTTCTGTTTGTGAAATGTTTGAGAGGAGGAGGGATATGCTTATTTCTCACCTGTGTGTATTTTGTGTTAGAAGAAAAAAAGAAGGAAGAGTCCGAGTCCTACGTCACGGTGACCATTGACACCAAACACAAGGCCAAGGACCACTACAATGTGCATGAGAAGCTGGGAGTGTAAGCATGGAGTCAAACAAACTTTTAACTTCAGATTCTCATGCATGTTTGCTGCATATGAGTAAATTGATAACTGGCTTTTTTTTTTTTTTTTATATTTGTTTTGGATTGAACATTTCCAGTGGGAAGTTTGGCCAGGTGTTCCGGATGTCCCACAAAGACACGGGTCAATTGGTCGCAGGGAAGTTCTACCGAGCCCGAACCGCCAAGGAGAGAACGGCAGCTCGCAAAGAGATCGAAATAATGAACAGCCTTCACCACCCGAAACTGTCCCAATGCCTGGCTGCCTATGAAACGCGTGCTGAGATGGTCATGGTCATGGAGTAGTAAGTAATGGAGGAGTGGAAAGGTGACTTTGATCTGGAAGAATCATGGTGTATCTGGTGTCACCTGCAGATGTCGCACGGTGACAATAATAATTTGTATGATTTAGACTATATGCCTTCATATTGATGGTCTGCATCAAATATTTTCACTACAGCAGTTATGGGTTGTTTTTGAAGCATGGACCTGAATGATGTTTTTTTTTTTTGTCTGCCCAGTATTGCGGGCGGGGAGCTCTTTGCGCGCATCGTGGACGACAACTTCGAGCACACGGAGCCCACCAGCGCCCGCTACATGCAGCAGATCCTGGAGGGCATGCAGTACGTTCACAAGCAGAATATCGTCCACCTGGACCTCAAACCGGAGAACATCGTCTGTGTGGATACGACTGGTACGCGGATCAAGATCATCGACTTTGGCTTGGCTAGTGAACTGGGTGAGTTTGCTGGATCTGTGGAAACTGTGTCAAAGTGTCCTACTGTGGTCAATTTGAAGCGGAATTCCCAAAATTACTTTTTTTTTAAAATTTTTTTTTCAGAGGGCAATTCTTTCGAACACAGGATGTATTCTTTCTATTTTTTTATTTATTTTTTTTAAATTGTTTGCAGCTGCTCACTAGGGACAGTGAATAAATCACCCAGTGTGTATTCTTATTAGTGGCACTTCCTTTGTGTATTCCAGTAGAAGTTACAATCTAGGGAAATCCGAGGGTCTCGATGAGGCGCCATTCAAAGTTGTGCATGCAGAATAAAATGCTTCCTGCTATGGTTCACATAAATGCACTAAAAATATTTTTTGGGCTGCAGAAAACTGCATCAAATTTAAATATAGTGTTGTTTTTTTTGTTTTTTTTTGTGATTTTCCAACCCCTGAATGTGGGTTTCCTGACAACACTGGGTCACTCATTTTAATTCATGCCAGTAACTAAAGATAACGTCAAGGAGTGTTTATAAATTCCTAGATGTATATACAATGCACTAAGTCTTTTAAACAACTACCTCGACTCAGCAAAGCTGTGAAGCCTATTCGGGCAGTAAATTTGGTGACGCTCCAGCAACCGCATCTCCAGACTGGGTGGTCTATTTAGAGATGACTGTAGCCATAAATGGGGGGGAAAAACACAAAACATTCGGGGGTGACGTTTTGAATTGCTTACTCTTGTCTGAATGTTCTTCAGAGGAGGGCAAACCTCTGCTGGTGATGCACGGCACGCCGGAGTTTGTGGCCCCCGAGGTGATCAACTATGAGCCTGTGGGCCTGGAGACCGACATGTGGAGCCTCGGAGTCATCTGCTTCATCTTGTAAGTCGAGCAATGGTTATAGTGCTTTAAATTAAATCATTCTACAAATTCAAATTTGGCGCCATCTCCTGGTGGTGTATTACTACAGTCCTCCATAACGTTAGTATTGTAGTTCTTAAAGTGGGCAATTTATTTGAGGGAATAACAAATTCAAGACAGATAATTTATCCTCTGGTCAATTAAAAAAATAATTTGTGAATGGGTACCAATCTCTTCTCTGCAGAAACATGACACGTGTTCTTCATTGTTGAATTGTTTGGTGACCTAGGCTCAGTGGAGAATCACCCTTCCAGGGGAACAACGATGCCGAGACTTTAGCTCTCGTGACTGCTGCCCAGTTTGAGTTTGACGAGGAGAGTTTTGAGGACATCTCTGATGAGGCTAAAGACTTTATCAGCTCCCTCCTGAAGAAAGACCATAGGTCGGTCTGCTTTTCCCTTCATCTTTTTGTGATTCTGATCTACACGATGTGATAAATGTGCTCACAAGCTGCTCTGATTCAAGTACCACTTTGTGATACAATGACTGTTTCAAGCTCAATACTCATGAGAAGCAGCTACAAGAGTATGAGCAAAGTCTTCCATGTGACATTTGCAACAATTTGCAAAAAATGTGCAAACCACATGGCCAGTTCTGAATATTGTTCGAGGAGAGCCAGGAGTTTATTTATGCAGATAATCCACAGTCAGCACAGGACACTGCCGGCATTTGACAGCCTTTGCTTCTCCCTCTAGATGCAGATTGTCATGTACCGAGGCCCTCGCCCACCCCTGGATGGTCTCTTTTACACCACTGAACCGCAGACCCACCAAGTCCCTCAATAAGGGGAAGATGAAACACTTTCTGGCCAAGCGCAAGTGGAAGGTAATGCTGAAAAATGACTAAAATGCCATTAGCCCTGCATTGGACAAATGAACAGTTTTCTTATCAATGCTTCCCTGTGATGACCTTTCAATCCTGTGTCCCATATAGTCCTTAAGCTTGGTTAGTGTAGTTTGCCATCCAGTGCCATTTGTCCTTTTTTTATAAACTTCCAGAAAACTGGCAAGGCTGTTTTGGCCCTACAGCGGATGGCTAATCTCTCTAACAGGCCAGACTCTCCTGGCAGCTCCTCAGAGGGTAAGGCCGATAAAAAGACACACACACACTGCCCTCCTATGTCCTGGAGCTACATGCATATGGCAGATGACTCACAGTTTCCGATTGTCACTTCAAGTTTACCCTTTTGTGATCTGGAAAGCCTTGTTTCTGTTTTATTCATCATCATCCTCCCTCTCATCCAGAGCCAGGCTGGAGCCAAGAGGCAGAGGAGGCCATCCAGTCTCTGGATATGCAGCTTCAGAGTGAACCTCGCTTCCAGCGGACCCCGAGGGACGCCACCCTCCCCAAAGGAGCAACCGCTCGGCTTACGTGCCTCGTCAACGGTAGAGTGACAGAACTGTGCTGTTCTTCATTAGATAATGCCTCACCACATTATACAAGGGAAGCGGAAAAGACAACGTGGTCTGAAAAGCTCTGATTTCAGTAGAATGAGATCTAAACTGGCTGAACTGAAATATCAAACTCAACTTAAAACGGCTTCATCCGAAACATCTTGAAAAGCAACTTTAATAGGCTTGGGGAATATTGAACACTTTGTTTGTTGTATATATCGAGATCAGCTATCGTACATGAAAACCATATAGAAATATGTTATGTGATGTTCCTGATTCTGAAATAAGGTCTTATTGTCTCAATCCCAGGTTACCCGCAGCCAGAGGTGAAGTGGCTTCAGAATGACGAGCCGGTGTCTGGATCAGTCAGAGTGACGATGGAGCAGCATGAAGACGGGCTCTGCTCTCTGGTTCTGGCTGATCTGGAGCCTTCTGACTCTGGGGTTTATGTGTGCAGGGCCAGCAACAAGCTGGGGGAAGCCATGTGCTCTGCCAAACTGAAAGTGGAGATGTGATTGTGTGGAAAAACAACAACCAGTGGAGGCAACAATATAAGATTTCCTTCATTTGGATGGAGACTCCTCCGGAGAAGGTTGCTAGGAGTGGTTTGACAAAGCTTGGACGGATGGACCGTTCTTCACCACCACACTAAAGGGCTGCTTACACATAATTTCAAGGCAAAAAGGGGGGGGGGGGAAGAGAGAGAGAGAAAAGTCTTCTACCATCAAGTGGATGGATAACAAAGTTTGGACACGCATACCCAAAGCCCTTTTTTTCACCAGCTATAGCGCACTTACCAAGTCGTCTTCTTAGCATGTTAAGCTACCATGGAAAGTTTTGTTGCACAGAAACAAGGTGATATCATGCCACAGTGGCTGAGCTCGGCACCGTTCACTCACTAAGTCGCATGGAAATTGTACATTTTGCACATTTAAATATTGTTCATAAATAAATTGGTTAAAAGTGGTATTTTTTTTTTTCCAAGACAAGCATAAATAAAGTACTGTACTATTTGGGATTATTTTATTAAGGAACATACAGCACTTCTTATAAACAAACATTAAATGGGTGAGAACACTGTCAACATTTCATTTAAGGTTACTCCAAATTATTTAACTATTCTCCTGGATCTCCAGATGATATGAAATCAAAGACCAAATATCCCTTCATTGGACAATCCTTGTAATATGAAGGAATAATTTAAGCAGTATTTTATTATGTAAACATTGATTTGTAATTTAATTGCAGGATTTGACATGAAATTTACCAAGTGTGTGTGTGTGTGTGTGTGTGTATAAATATTTAAGTGGGCTCGTTCTTAGATTGCAATTCAGGAGTTCAACATTTAATCTATGGATGTAAAATTATTTTCACGTCCGCTTGATTTACCGTAATGTCTTTTATCCAGTCTCCTTTATTAGTCAATGTACAGTGTGTCAATTTTTTTTTTAAGTGCCTATTGTATCTGAACGTGACAACTACTCGTATTACAAAATATTCTAATCTATTCACATACTTCTTAAATACAAAGTAGCTTGTTTGATAATCTACAATTCTTCATAAGATGACAGTGAACTTGTTAAAACATTCTCCCAACCCCCCAAAAAACCATAAAGATGAACACAAACATTAATTCATATGATTTAACGGTGGCACCTAGTGCAATCTTTCAATATGGTACCTTCCTTTTCCTCTGACCATTAGTTGCTTTTAAAAGGTACATTCGTGCTAATTATACTTGGACACGAAAATAGGACAACTTGTAAAGTGTCATCAGCTGACGAGCCACCCACAACATTAGACTTCACAGAGAGTTTTGGTCTTGAAATGAATGTTGAGCATATCATTTGAGCAAGAGTAACTATTTAAAGACATGCTATTCCTAAAAAAATATCTTTGCATGAAAACACCTTTTGTCTGGGATGATTTATGAAGTTATTTTTCCTCACCCATCCATTCTTTTAACTCAGCATCTTAAAATTAAACCACTTTAAAAACCTGTGGGAACTCAACCAGGCACCGAGTCTTGGTAAAAGAAGCGAGAGAGCTTTGTACCGCGCCTACTTCTTTCTAAGGCACTGTTCCTTATGTGGATCAGTCATTTGTGTGCACATGCTTGTTCTCTATGCACAGCTCACAGCTGGGATGATGGAGAGACCAACACATGTCCGTCTGGTCTCTGCTGTAGCCTCTCCTGAAGGAGGTTCCAAGCTTTCAGTACCTTCAAAATAAAAGACAGTGGGAGAATTATTTTACAGGAGTACATTTTTTTTGTATTAAACAATCAAATGATTTGCTGTAGAGCAGATGTGTAGACCCTATTCTAATGGCATGCTGAGTGTTTGACCTGTTTCTGAGTGACCTCGGGCTCCCACAGCGTGCTGAGCACCACGTTGGCGTGCGCTACTTGCTTGCCGTTGGACCACTGGCTCTGCAGACGACGCAGGGCATCTTCTGCGGTCAAACCGTCTCGCTCCGATATCCTTAACACCGCCTGAGAGGGGGAGGGGTAACAAGGGGAGGCAGATGGGTTAGGATAACGAGGTGTAGAATCCCAAATTTCACATTTTTGCACCCACCCAGTGATACCTTCCAAAAAAGCAAACTATGGATGACTGCAGTGCGTGGTGATAGCGCCCCACACACACACACACACACACACACACGCACACACACACGCACGCACGCACACGCACACACCACCAAAAATGTCACAACTCCCTACAAAAACTCACGTCACCGTGGCATCGCTACATGACTCCATGGTTGTTCCACTGAGGACTGCAAGTACAAGCATATTACCTCCTCCTCGGGGATGACCGTGACCCAGACCTCGTGGACCATGTCTGTCCAGCCGGCCTCCTGAAGAACGGCTGCATCCAACACGCAAACCTGCTCACCTGCAAAAAGATCACATGCACGTTGAAATCTCTTCCAAAAACAAAGCACAGTTTCGTTATCATCTGTGTATCAGTAAAGGAAAAGGTGAACACAAAAACTTTACTGCTACACAGGGTAGAAAACACTTTAACACCAACAGCCTATACCCATAAATACTAGGGACATGTTGAGTTCTAAAGTACTAAGATTTATACGTTTAAAAGTTCATACCTTCCTCTCTGGCTTGGCTGATTCTGTTCTCCACCAGAAGTGCAATCTCAGGCCATACAATGTCCGTTAGGGCTTTTAACCGCTCCTGCATGAACAAAAACAGCCCCTTTGGTAAATTGTCTGTACACAGTGGTGTATTCTTTGTTGTGATGCGCTGGAACACTATTAATACTTGTCTTATTACCTGGTTTCCAAAAACCTTTCTTCCTAAAGCACGTCTGTTGATGGTTTTATCTTCGTTCAGAAGATCTAAAAAGGGACAAAGAGAAAACTCATTCTTGCACTGCAACACCTGAGACTTCATGCATCTTAACATTTAACAGAAAAATCAAGCCAATGGAAAGATGAGTAATAGTCCTAGATTTCATCAAAAGTAAACAGATAGAGTGTGAGATATAAGCAGATAGATGACGCATCTCTAACCACAGCCAAACCGGTCCTCCGCACACAAAGGTTTCCTCACCTGACCCAAATTCTTCAAGCACTCTGCGATAGGCTGCAGTGCCGGGCTGGTACACCTCATGGCCCAGCTTGTCACAGTCAATCCGGACGGCGCCCAAAGCCTCCAGCTGCCTGGCGATGGAGCTCTTTCCGCTGCCGCTGCCTCCCGTCAGGCCAATCACGTACGGAAGTGGAGCGAGATGGGACGTGTCCTAGTGCAGAGGAAACAGGAGATACATGGGCGCAGGGTATACACCCGAATACTGCAGCACTAAACATGAGAGCGTCAAGAATGTATGGGTGGAGGTGATGATAGGGTTAGGGCTGGGTGGAGGTGATGATAAGACGATACACAAACCACTCCTAAAACAGGTCAGGCCTGCTCAGAGATACTCGCTGCAGAGGAGCTCATTGTTTCTCTGATAACAGTAATAATAGTCTATCAGCATGGACAAACAAAGAGCGCACGCAAATGTTCATTTCAGATTTTTGTTTCACATCTTCCTTTCTAGTAAACCTGCAAAACTAATGAACTTAGTACTTCTAGAAAGACATTGTACTTTGGCATATACCGGAAAGAAATGCTTTTACTATTTTACCCGAATGAGACGGCTCCCATTAGAACGGTTAAACATTAAGAGGTTTCTCAAGACGGATCTGTGTGCCTGCTACAAAATGCTCCGCGTCACTTTCTGTGTGAAAACACTTTCCCTCATCTGCTCAAAGGCCGCGAGAAAAACGGGTTCCATGTTTTGCTTCAGTGGGTGGAAACAAAAATCGAATGCAAATTAGAGCATGATTTGGCAATTACTTTTTGGTGGCTGGAGGCTGTGCAGAGCGTTTTTTTAAACATCTGAAAAGGAATTTAATTTAATTTCAACAGGATTGAAAAGGACTGATGAAGTTATATATATTTTTAACGTATAATCGAATTCAAATTGAATGAGATGTTTTCTTCTTCTTCGTCACAGGCGTACACTTTATTGAAAACTTGAATTGAATGAAATTAAATGGCAACCCTTTTAATGAGCTTTACATATGGAAAGAAAGACTAATCTTTTATTTCAATTATATGCATTATTTTCGTTGTTTTGCCACCACGATACCGTTGTTAGTATCCGTTTTTGTTTTTTAAATGACCTACTTTAGGCGGGGTAAGGAGGGTGCCCAGCAGTCGAGAGCGTAGACTGGAGGAGCTGATCTTCTCCTCCTCTGTCTCAGTGTGGTGGGCATCTTTAAGCAACTGGATCTCGTGGAGGATGAGAGGACGAAGGCCCTGATTTAGGAAGCAGAGGACACAAAACATCAAATATCTGCTCATATCCGGGCTAGTGTCTCCTATATCTGGAAAAACAAGTTCCACTGCTGTCCCAGGATTAAAATGTGCACTACAACTATCGCCTGTGCTTTCTTTACACTGCAATTCTTAAGACTCTCAGAATAGATTAGATATGTCCTGACATATACAAAAATAAAAGGACAGATCTACATTCAAACACATACACATAAACAAGCAGTGGGAAAAAAAAACTGCAGGAGGGTTAAAATGATACGGACATAAGCATCACATGTTTAAAGGGCCACCTGTGACACACAATTTAATATGTTGGTAAAGAATCCTGCCCAAGAAAACCTTAATTAATTAAACTACGGTTGTAATAAAGACAATGCTGCATTTAAATCAGCTGTAGATAATGACAAAACACAAATAACACAGTATAATTATTTTTGTTACTTTTCCAGTGTACAATTTTGTATGTATTCAAAGCTGGAAAAGGCGGCAACGCGTATCTGCGATTTCCTGACTCACGTTCTCAATGCGTTTCTTGTTGACAGCCTCGCCTCCCCTTCTAGTCTCCTCGCTGACCACAATGCACTGCAGCAAGGGGTCAACCACAGCAACTCCATAGGGGTCTTCGAGGGGCATGATCTCCACCTGCAGTGAGGGTTTGATGTCTTGCAGGAACTCCTGTAGTCTCTGGGCCCGCAGTGAGTAGGGCTCCACCAGCTCCTTCAGCACTTTCTCTAAAGCCGGGAAGAAAAGGATGTTAGGGGGGGCTGCCTTCTCATCATGAATACGCATTCCTGAAATAGAATTACTGAAAATTAACGACTTACTTTTCAGCATTGCATGGTCACACACACAAATAATTAACCTTCTATTGGCTAGCAGGCATGAGATGTTGAGCAGCGTCTTGTGGGCCCCATGGAGCCGGTCGAACGTCCCCCCTACCACCACGTCACTGTAGGTCTGCATGGGTTCTGCCTCTTCTCCGGGCTCTTTCAGCCCCTCCCGGTTCTCCTGCAGCCTCACTAGCTGTGGATGAAGCAGCACGGAGGGCATGCTGGGGCTGCAGACGTAGCAGTGGCCCGTGTACCTCTGCAGACACTGCATGACCTGGTGGGATTGACCCGGGTCCTGCAGAGGAAAGTCTGTCAGCACCACCTCCGGGGAGTGAGACAGAGATTGTGGCGTGGGGAAGGGGCAGTTTGGGATCGCGGTCCCGCTGCAGGAAGCTGACTGAGTGCGGACATTGGTCAGCAAAACACGGACATCCAGGTGCCCGCACACGTCAGCTGCATTGCTGTAAAGGCGGGAAATGAGCGTGGACAGGTCCACTGCCGGTGGGAGGAAAACCGGTCGGGGCTGGCTCCCACTCCCCAGGTTCAGCCCGGGGTTGAGGTGGACGTACAGCGTGCGCTCCACAAGCTGAGCGGCTGAGCTGAGCACGGGAGCGATGCGCAAGGGGAGGGTGTGGAGAGGAGACGTCAGCACAAGGATGCCCGTGCTGAACATGGACATGTTCCTGGCTGGTATCACAGGGAAGCGCAGTCGTCACAGTATCTGCTGGGTCACTGTTGTAGAGTGGGTGAACTCTGGAAGGGATGGAAAGTGCAAGACAAGTCAAAAAAACGGTAGCAGACGAGGCTGTGATTTAAAAGAATGCTTGCTATGCTAGCTACATCAATCTGGGATGTATTGTCACAGGGCCAAAAGGAATATAAAGGCTGTAAAGGCGAGGTGGCTCTTTTATTGTTAGATTGTTGATATCTGCAGTGGGGAGTGGTGCACGGGAGATTTGGTTTGGTGGTGATACATGGTCTGAACAGTTTGGGAAACTCTGATTTTGAGAAAATACCTATTGCTTGACGTGCAAAGACATTGCTTTAAATCAAGTACAGACTACACCATCAATAGATTTTAAAACAAAGATATAGGGATGCAAATAGTTACAGGTTACATATAGTTAATTGAATAAGTAATTATTTTGCTAATAAATACATGTTTTTATGACCTAACCATGTTTATTACTGCTGCATCACTATTGGCATGCTTGCAATACACTCTTGCAGTGTCTCTGTGAGCCTTCTGTTATGTTTACTTGGTGTGTTGGGTTGTGTGAATGGAATGATTTACTAGCTTTTCGAAGAGCTCTCTTATTTAAAACCTCCCGCTGATGTCGCAACTCATTCATTACACTGTAACGAGTCAACACTTTCACATTCCAGCCTGTTTAACCCTGAGGCAACAGTGTGCAGCCATTCTGCAATGACACTTATAATTTCTACAGAAGTTAAGTAGCTTCAAAACACCATACAGTTCCAGAAGTAGTCGCATGATGATTAGCTAAGTAAATAAAACAACTGCTCGTTATTCTCTCTACGCCTCATTCTGCAAACGAGGAAACGAACTGACCATAAACCGGACCACCGTTCAAAGTCGTAGCTAGCTAGCCACATAGCACGACCATCACATTGCCTGTTAAAAAAAAAAAATGCACTACAAATATTGTTTGCAAAGTGATCTTGCGGGATGCACATTGAGAAAGACGTGCATCGTTATCAGGCCTGAGCTGAGATAACGGAGCAGTTTTGTGTGTAATTACAAACAACATTCCTTCTTACTGAGCAGGTTCGTTCAGAAGTGACAATCTGGCAGCGTAGCGGGAGTTTACCTGTGCGGAAGTGTGGAGAACGGACTTAAAGCGATGTGTTACACTATAACATGTCCCAACATCTGCTGAATAAATCTCTCTTCCTCATACTCTTCAACGAGGAGCTGTCTTGTCGAGTCCACCTCACACAGCTGTAAACAGACCCACTGGTGAAAGTCACGCACTAATGTACTGGCTTGGATTATCACGTGATGTTTTCTGGATTGGTTTAGGGCGAAAGCTGGGGAGTCTGGGACATGTAGTCATTTAAACTGCTACCGGGGAGGTATCGGAAACAAGTATTTTGCTAAGTTTCTCCCGCCGCTCTCACAATTGTTAGTGCATTAATAGTAGACTGGTCCATACAGAAAAAAAAATTAAATATATAAACAACTAATAGTCTGGTGACGAAAGTGTGTTTGTTTTTATGTCATACACACTCACACACGTTTCTTTCCAACTTATTTCCTTTTACAAACTAAGTACAAACCGGACAAGACAACATTCAGACCGGTTGTTCCAAAGCAATGCCTTAGGTTTCCGAGAAACTTCAAATCCCTGTTTGAGGTCCTCAGGCTGTGCACTTTAAGTGTATTTGACATGTAGAGGATTCAAAATTATATTATGCAAAGGTTTAGTAACAAGTTCTACCTTACATGCTATGGCAAATCCTCCTAGTGCATACTTTTGTTTATGTAGTAGGCATACTTAAGTTAGCAGCAATCACCACATCAAATGGAATCAAACATGATTGACTTGCCTGACATCAGACAGGTGGAATTTTCCAAAAAAACTAAATAGAGATTAAAAACACGTAATTGTGTATTCAGGAGTTTAGGGTTAATGTTAATTTAGGAGCACTTTCTGATTACATGTGGTTAGTGGAAGCGAAATAGGGGATGAAAATGTAAAACCATGGAATGACGTTAGAATTAGTAAAATAAATGCATAAGAATCCTAAACTCATGTGGAAAACTAACAAATAAATAAATGCCAAGTTAATGTTTTAAATTAAGCCTGAGGCACTTTAATATGCATTAAAACAATTTATAGTAATCACAAGGATAGAGGCAAACAACGACTCTTGCGGAATATTTTTTAAATTTTCATAGTTTGAGGCCAACAATTTTTACAAAAATAATAAAAAGAAATTAAGTGTTATCTCCATACTGTAGAAAGAGCTGCATGAAGACTTCCCGGGGTTAGCTGGGCAGAGGCATTGCATAATTAGCAAAAAACAGACCACAACACAAGTAAAAACGACAGATTCAAGTAAAAAGTCATGTAATTACAATGAAGTCACATTAAAGCCTGGTGGCAATTCTTGGAAATTAAGACTCTTGCTGGGTTTCACTGTTGGTCAGAGGAGTCAAACTGAAGCCATGGGACCAGTCCCTCTCATGAACTCTGGAGTCCTCTTCAAGACATTAATTGACAGCGAGGTGCTCGGTAAGACTCGGTGAACTATGTTGTCATTAAAAAATTCAAGTTGGTATTGAAGTGTGAGAAGTTTGAATCAAAGTATGAAATTCTTGATGATGAGCCTGCAGCTCCAGGCATGATATCTTCAGTGGATGTGCGTTTATGAACACGGACAGAACACCCATTGTTCAGTTTAACTCCCCTGCTCTACATAAAGCCAAGTATGTTAGTTTGCTTTCTTATCGCTGGTGCTATCGCTGGCAGCTGTGTCATAATGGCACTTCTCCACACAACGCCTTGGAAACCATCCTCTTACACGCTCTCCCCCTGAAAGCCAAAAAAACAGAAAGAAAAGATCTGTTACACACTTGTTTCGATGAATTAAAAAAGAAATTAATTCAAACCACATCTCACCGCTTATATGCCCCTCATTCAAAACTTTGTCTCCATACATCCACCATCTAGAGAGAAAGAAAAACATTAATTAGGAGAATTCTAACAGACAAAAACAAGGCTGGTACATTAACTTCAGACTACAACCAATGCATAAAAAGGGTCTTTTCTACGAGATGTATTAGTTTCTGACTCTGGGAAAGTGGAAAAAACAGTAAAATTCCCCAAAACAGTTTCTCGTTAACCAAATTAATGAGAAAACACACATTTAGCCTATTTAATATGATCTTCTATTGACAACTAATATATTAATTACAATTTTTTTCATTTCTATTCCCACCTGCGGAGGCCGGCCTCCCACTTTGAAAATCTCTGTTCTAGACAAACAACCATGATGGTCGTAGTTTCTGTTCAGCCTGAATGAACTCACTTGGTGCCACGAGTGGCCAGGATGGTGTCCCCCCTGTTGAGGGGGATCCTGGGCTCCTCGGTGCAGGGGGTTCTGAAAAAGGTTTGGAGACCTTTGCTCAGAGGGCAGCACGCTCCGTTATAGTCCTCCACTGCCCGGTACTGGACCTGCTAGCCAAGGCATACAACATATCTGGTTATTCTACTGCTCTGACCACAACCTGAACTCAGACGAGACACAAGTGTGTGTTTATAAAGTCGTGGTCTTTAATCTTAATGCATTCAAACATCTGACAGCATTTCGGACAATCTGTATTCCATATTAGTGTTTTTTTTTTTTTTAAGTACAGCCAGTAGCCTTTGTGGCATGAAGACTAAAGTATTAAATCAACACCACATTGATGTCACAAGACACATCTGACAGGTACTTACACTTCTCACTCGCTTATCAGCTTTCTGCTTCAGTTGCTCAATCTGTTTAAAGAGGAACAAGACAATTAACGTCCCTATTGTTCGACAATGTACTTTACATTGCAACAGGAAAAGTGTCAAGAGCAGGACTTACAATACCAACTGCCTAAACTGCTTTTAAAACATTCTACAAGTTAAAGATAATTTATCATCAGCGAACAAGAACAGCATCAGAAAAATCCAAAAACAGCATTGAATGCATTACCCGACTCAACGACAAACTGAACCTACAGTTAAGGTGTGCTGGTGACACTTGGGATGGACTGGCCATTCGATGCCATCACCCTTGGGCGTCCCTGACCACGTGAACACTTGCTTGAAGTTCAGCCAGCGGGTGCCGAGGTCGTAAGGGAAGGTGAAGTCCTCCCCTGTTTGGTAGTGCTGTATTCTGTCTTTGGCCTAGTGGGAGACACAGGGAACGGTTGTGTGCGTATGTGTCAATGGGATTGTGTGGGCGGGCTGGTGTCAAGTTTCTGTAATTAGTCCGCTACATTGTGCGACAGATGATCTGGAACGTGTGTGGATTAGTCATAAAAGTGACATTTTGTGTTCAAAACATGTTAATTATAAATCCCTAGCTTATCTTTTGCAGATCAAACAATAAAAAATTCAAAAAGTCATCCATCACAAATTACACTGAAATCAAAAGAGACATCCTGACCTTTTCCTCGATCCAGGACTCGATCGAGGTCTTATTTCGGAGGATGACTTTGATCTGAAAAGGACAGACTATTTCAATATAATAAATGCTTGGCTTTGAATAGTTAATGCTGAAATGCCAACGTTAAATATCCAACAGCTTGTGTGAATCGTAAACACCAATGAAAAAAAACGTACCTGTATGAAGAAAAGCATGCCAACGGCAATAGTGGTGCCCAGTGCCAAGCCTAAGGCAAACAGTGTGGCAGCAAAGGCGGGCACACTGAACGGCATGAGGGGCTGGAATTGACGCACAGCACTCATATCAATCTTCACAGTGCTCCACCCAAATGATATCTGCAGTGAGGAAAAAGAAAACAGCTTGTCATGTGTCAGTATCAATGATAAACGCTGCGGTGGTAATAGGCCGTCAAAAAACATGGTGTGGTGGCGTAGGGAGACTACTGACCCTCTCATATAGCTGCGTGTACATGGTCATGATGAAGATGATGGCACCGTGTGAGCAGCCCAGTGGAGCCAGCAGCAAGAAGCTGGTGAAGTAGGCGTGGTTCTGGTGACCGCAGCAGTTGTTGATCCAGGGGCAATGGTGGTCCATCTTCATCACGCACCTGGGAGAGGGGAGGCAGAGGAGGAGTGTCGGGGGAATTGACTGGTTGTTTGGGAGGACAAAGAGTGACAGGTTCTTTCAAAAATAAATTGGATTTATCTATGTAACATCACATAGATCACAAAGTAGATTATGTGATGCGTCTTTGTGCAGCCTGTGAAGTGCTGAACAGAGATTTCACAGCACTGCATGGGCAGAAAAATCATGGACGAGCCACGTACGTGCACAAGCCAGCTCCAGTTTGGTGCGCCAGTTATTTTCTAGCTAAATTAGTGCTGTCCCTGTGCGCTTTTATCTTCTTTAAGTCCATCTCACACAGATGAAAGACAACATAATCTTACTTTCGTAATAAATGCACCTACCTGTTACACTTGCGACAATGGTGGGACCTGGGGGCCTTGTACCCTTGGCAAACTCTGCAGTACTGTAGGTACTGGGCATCCTGTTGAGTCTCCTGTTTCGGGATAAACAAATAAGTAAAATTTCTTGATGTAACATCTTTTCCATGATTAATTTTTTCACTCTATGTTTATGTTGCAGACATGGTTCCAACCTGTTCTTTATGCTATCTACAAGAACAAACATGTCATAAGCCTTTATCCTTATTGAGAAGCCTTACTGGTTTCCAGCCAAGAGGAATGTATCCAGGTCCAACAAACACAGCATTGAAGTAGTTGTAGAGGATGAGGACAGTCCAGTTGAGAAGCATGATGAAGTTGATGCTACCTCCTGTAGTGTCTAGCGGCCAGTACCAGATAATGGAGTCCAGAATTGCCATCGTGGAGCATATCGCAATGACAGACAGGGCTATGATCGGACCCCAGTGGCACAATCTTCGAACCTCATGGAGGTTCTGAAATGTCACTAAAGTTGACAGGAAATTCATCTTTCAAGCCACAAGGTAAGTTGTAGTATTTTGGTTGAGTTCCTGAAATGTATCGACGAGTTACTTTTTTTTCTTCCCCTCAGCTATTTTGCAAAGTCAGCGGTGCAGATGATGCACATATTTTTGCTCGTCTTCTGAGTACCCAGCAGCTGGCCTGGTCTTGGGTCACTGGGGCTCTCCGTGTCCCATTGGTTCTTGCCCTGGCAAAGAGCAGCATCCTCTCCTGCCAATCTTCAGAGCACACTAGCCTTGTGACGGACTCAAATTCCCCATCTAACAGAAAGAGAGACATTTTAAAACATCATGATCGATGACTCAATCTAACGTTATCTATCAAGTGACCAAGTTTGCTTAACATTAGTCTATACACACCAAGTTGTCGGTTTATTAAGCACACACCTAAACTAATGCAGTCAAATATAACAGGGCTGCTATAAATCATACTTTCATGGAGGTTTTATAATGTTAAGAGAGGTTTTGATTGAACATTTTGGAGATGTTGAACAGTATTCAGATATACTTTAATCTCATTGACATGAATGAGAGGAAGAACGGATGCTATATTTCTCCCACTCTTACTGCAATATTTTAATAGTAACGCTACGCTGATTGTTAAAACTTTACTGTCATATTGAGATGTTGTCGATCAGTAACTTTCGGAGATAACTAACGATAGCTTTAACAAGTAGCGTATTAGCTAATTAAAGCCAACTAAACGGGAGCACATGATACACTAAAGCAGCTCGGGGTGTATTTCTTCATTCACAGCCATAGCATTTACCCACCAAACTAATTAACTTATATTACCAAGCTAGCTAATTCGCATTTGAAAAAGCATCGCATTGCAGCGTTAGTTATATGCATGCGTTACAATGACACCACTTTGCTAAAAAATATAAAACAAAAATATTCGGTTTTGCACCATGGCTAACAGTAGCTAGCTAGCTAGCTACTGTTAGCCAGCTTGACAAGACTGACGGCTGGATTACTGCCACAATGTGCAACATGGAAACACGGACGATAAGGCATTTTAAAGATATGTCGATTGTTTAGTGGTACACGTATATTCACATGTTGTATGGAGCGAGAGAAAAACTGTCACTTTAAATTACCAACCTGTCCACTTCCTTGATGTTTTCTTCAATTTCTACTGTGTACAGAGAGGAACCTTTCTCATGGAGTCTCAGAAAATATTACCCTCAACCCCTTGTGGACATTTTTAAAATCTAAGATAATTGTCACTCAACCATCAAATAATTCACAAAAATAATCTAGCACTATTTCTTCACGTTCAGCAAAATAAAGCCCAACTGACATTTTCTATTCACTAGCTTGCTGATTCATTTTCCGTGTCGGAAAAATAAACATAAAGTCATGTTCCTTGTCGAGCACGTTATACTGTGACTCAAGGAAGAGACTCCATTCGGGACTTGTTGTTATTATCCTGAGCTAACCCAAGAAAGCCACCTGTTTTAAACCCTAAACGTCAACATGTCTTCAGACTTTGAAGCCTACGAGCAGGACTTTGGAACCATTACAGCAGAAGTAACGAACAAAATTGGCAGAATCCCCAAACTAAGTGGAGGTGAGGCAGTAACAACTTAAATCAATTAGCTGGAGAGGCTGAGCTGGAGCTAGCTATCAGTTAGCTGGCATTCCTCAGCTGAGAAGGCTAGCTAACGGTGGCTGGTGTAGCCTGCTGTACTTGTGTTAGTTCATCCATTTACCGTATTGTCTTCGCGTAAAAGATGTATCGCACTAAGGTGAACCGCTTATGTAAGAGGATGAATCACGTGTCGAGGGTTGGCTTAATGGCTTGGCTTTAATGGATTTAAACAAAATGAAAAAGTGTAACACTGTGCTTAGTGGCAAATACAATCTTATGTTTTCCGGTAGTTTCAACCAATATCTTGTGTAGTAGCTTTTATTGACACCTTTTAAGACAAATAATAGGATATTGCATACAGCAGAGCAACAATCTGTGATGAGTCCCACACAGAATGTTTTCTTTTATTATATAGATTGTTTCTTGTTCATCTATCTAATATTGTTTTCATATTTAGGTCACAAATGATAATTAAAGAGTGTTGCAGACGAACAGTTGATTGTAGCATAGTAATTGCAGGATACAGTAATACAGACTGCACAGAATTCCTTTCCCCAATTCAAATGTGTCTCTCAAAGTGGAGCTGATGCACCTGTTTTACTCAGCCTGTTATATCTTCTAAATGTTGTTCCTATTGTCCTGAAGCTTTATTGATTAGCTTCCATTGTTGGACATATGCTGTCATCGCATATTTTTACCCGATATTTTCACATTCAAACACTTAACTCTTTTTTCCCTGCTGCATCTATTGGGCCAAAAACGTACATTATCTCTGAGCAGCTATTGTGCCGGTATCACACTGTTGTGCACTGTAGCTTTCTTGTTCTTGTGAAGACCTGTCCCTATTTACACAGATCAAAAATACTGCTTAAGCACTGCCTTATCAATCACAGTTGGTAGTGGGGGTAAAATAAGTTTGCATTTTTTGTCTAAATTGTATTGTACACAACTGACTACTGCATGTAGTTTTCTTTCAGTTTTGACTGCTATGAACTCCAATCCATCCCTTACCTGGAAGAGTTATCTCCGACTTGCTCATTGGTTTTTCAAAGAGCCCTGCCTCACACAAAACCTGGCCCAACTGAATATTTCTGGTTTGGAAATTGGCATCTTTTGAAGCTTCATGGCGGCTCATTCCACAGTGTAATTCCACATTGCGTCCTCTCGCCATCTGTTGAATGTGTCGGAGTAAAGCCGATATGAATATGCACAAAGCCAGGAAACGCATTAGAACCACAAGTAGTTGTTCAACGTCTTCTGCCACCAACAGAATAGTTTACAGTGTGATTTAAATTCCCTTCCTTCTCATTAAGGGGTTTCTTCTTTCCTTCCTTAATTCCCTCTTCTTCCTGAAGTGGCTGAATTGTTTTTTCCCCCTTGGTTTGACAGCCCTCCATTTAATACGTTAATATAACTCCAGACAAAGGGACTTTGTCATTGCTGTTGTTGTATCTCTCCATTTCACATGTGCACAATTGCTGATAATAGCCAGGGCGTGTGGAAAGAATGCCCTTGACTGTCTCCATTTATGTAACAATCAAATTAATGTTTCTATATTTATTTGTAACTTACCATCCCCCCAAAACCTAAGGTTCATTCAGGACTATTTGAATATGAATACAATGAAATGTTAGGCCTTGTTCCATGAAACATCAGTCATTTTTTCACCTTTGAGTCTCTATGGAAAGAGATTTCCTGTCAATCATTGCAACTCAAATAGAATTTAAAATGATTTATTTGCCAAGCCCTACTTCTTCTTTGTTTGCCTTACTTCTGTGTACAAAACTTCTCATCCGTAAATATCCATATATATTTCACAGCTCTCCAGAGTTAGAGCCGGAGAGCTCCTTCTCCCCTCTCAGCCTCTGGCTGTTTACTGTGTCGGCTGCAAGGTTGGACACGGGTTTTAAAAATGAATTTGAGGACCGGCAAAAGTTGACGTTGGCCCGTGGTGCCTGAGAAATGAAAATCTTTGGCTTAAGATTGTTTTGCAGTCCAACAACTAATAAATAGCCTTGTGATCTGCTCTGAAGAAGTATATACAACACATCTGAAAGGGAGTTGATTTAAAAGAAATACTTGAATTCAATAGTGCAGTAAGCCTAAGCAGGTTTTCACACAGTGAAGTACACTTAAACCACAGTAAATTTGGTCTCTTTGTGTGTGTGTGTGTGTGTGTGTGCTGTTGATGGACACTATGCTGGATCGAGTTCAAAATCTTAAAACGGACAGTTTGTTTTATCTTTGTAAGATTTCACCAGCAGTGAAAACATTCCAGCGTTGCGGTTTGACTAACGTCAAACTGATCATATAACTGATTGTTATATGTATTTAATCCATTTCTGTGTTTTTAATAGATTTTTGTTCACCAACTCCTAACCCAGTTTAATATGCTGATTAGCTTGTTGTGTATAGAATTATTATATAGTATGAATTTGGGACACGTGCAAACAGTCATAACATTCTGGTGACAATTATTAGTAACATCTGTACTCTTCCTGCTACAAATCAACATCTGCTGTGAAAAATGTCTTTCCATATAATTCAAACAATTGAAACATTTTATATCTTTTCTTGATATATAGCTTTAACGATGACTTGGTAATTAATCCGACTATACCTAATTCTTTAAATTTTTGACTCCATTAAGATATGTTGTGTTCACAATGCTTCTCTCAAACATTTAATAATCGATCGCTGAACTACCGGACCACACTTCCACATTTCCCTGTGGGTTCACTCTCATGGCAAAGCTCTAATTTCAGAACAAAGACCAGTTCTTCTACGTGCACAAATGAAGTGGTCGTGTTGCCGCCTTAAATAACGACGGGGATGCACTGTGTGGTTTACGGGCGTCTTTGGAGCTCTTTGCAAGTCGTAATGAGTTTCAATGGGTGATGTGGAAGAGCAGCCACGGGGTGAGGAGCAGAACGGTGCGTTAGTCATTCTGAGTGGGACTCATACTTCTGGCAAGTGAGCAAAGCTGACACCTCCCTTCCCTTTGAGTTGGCACGAGGTGTCTCACTGCTCCTCAACGGAAACCAACAAAGGCCTCATAGACGCCAATAACTAAGAGACATCAAATGTTGGCTCGTCGTGTAGAGAGAATGTGTAAATATATCTTCAAATGTGTCCTCGTGTGTTGTTTTTCCTCCCAGTCTTTCTCTCCCCTTCTCTTCCCCCCACGTTGCGGGGGAGTTAGGTTGTTGTCATGAAGCGCTGTTCTTCTGTCGGCTGATCAATATGTTGCTGTTTTTTCTCTCTTTCAGAGGAGAAGACGCAGCTGGTTCTAAATGTCGACAAACAGCTTGAAGAAGTCAGAGAGTTGGTACGTCTTTGATCAGTAATTTTCTCCTCTTCCCATTTCCTAAATAATGAATTTGTGGAATGAGGGAGGGGACAATTTTCCCTGGCACCAGACAACGGCACCTGTATTATCCTGGTGGTGACATGACATGCCGACACACACACACATACATACACATACACACACACACACACACACACTTCACATGGCGGAAAGGAGGCTTCCTCCTCACATGATTACTTTCCAGTAATCTGCTTTTAAGTGACACCCCTATGACACATTTCAAGCCATTATCTTGAGGTGGGAGTCTTCATGTTGCTGTTTAAGAATGAGCAAAGTCACCTGACAGAGACAAATTGTTGTCGCAGTTGTCTTGTTATGTCACGGTGATTAGTTTCCTCCAAATCCGCCTCAGAGAGACCTGTCTAGCCGCGCGTCAAATGTACGCTTACTACATTCACGGTGACATCGTTGGGCCCGTGCACGTCGCCGCAATGAAGCGGCGCTCGTATGTATTTGATTGTGTGTATTTATTTACGGAACAGCCAATTCCTCCCTCGCAACTTTCATCACGGCTGAGTGATGCCAGCGGGAGGCATTTTTCTCGTTACAATCAATAGAGCATATTAAAGTTAATGCTGCTGAAGTTGCACGTTTCAGAAAGTTTCATGTTTCCAGAGTTGACACAATTTCTATCTTGAGCAGATTCTTGTCGTAGAAATGCGACATTAACAGAAATGTATTGATGGCAAGAGAATGATCTTTGGAGCATCGGGAGGCCTAGAAGAAGCTCTATAACTCTGTACAAAATATAGTTAAAAGTGCACATTTCACCAGGTTGCACCGTAACATTATAATGTAAATTGGATCAGAATGAGCTCTAGACCTGTTAGTTTTGTGATGCATTATATCCCAAGTTGTAAATGTAAGTGTTAGCCAAGACGTTATTTTGTTAAATGATCTGAATAAACTGCTTGTTTTCAGCTGGAGCAGATGGACCTGGAGGCGCGTGAGATCCCCATCCAGAGCCGAGCCATGTACAACAGCCGACTGAAGAGCTACAAGCAAGAGATAGAGAAGCTCGAGAAAGACTTCGTAAGTACTTAAACGCCTTCTTAAATCTTTCTGAAGGGTTGCTTCGAATATTACAAATAAAAAAAGCACAAAATTATCTTTTTAAAGTGTGGTTTTCAAAATGTGCGTCTGTATGGAAACACCCTGTTTATGTATACGACATACTGTAGTTATATGTTGTCACCTTTTCAAATCCCTTGTGGTTTACATGCACATCCAATGTTTGCTCGCGCAACCAAACTCCCTCTCTCTCTCACACACACAAAGCTCAGCGGTGCATCCACCGAGGTTAATTCCGAGTTCCTATTTGAACTTGCAAGCGGTGCCTATTGAGAACAGGTTGTGTGTTTGTGTTGTTGCTGCAGAGTCTGGCCTTGTTTAGTAATTCATAAATCTCTGTATGTCTTGACTTGATCTCCAGCCTCTGTCAAAGCGTAATAAACAGCCCGGTCTTGTAGGTGCATTGCTTTTAGTCCACACTGTTGGCTATACCAACATGGCTCAAGGCGTTTCACTTAATCAATAGTGTGATAAGAAATGAGTAATTATTTGATATAATTCCAATGCTTTCTGGTGTTCGTTATACTTTTTGTAGCTCTTCCTGTTATCCTAAGTCATTGTTGTTCACTGTTTGTCTTTACCTTGCAACAATATGTGTCTTTAATGATATCTCTATTGTTTTCTGTTGCTCACAACACGATAATAAACCCGTAGTGTAAATGCAACTGGCCTTGAGCTCGAGAGCAGACGAGTCCTTCCACCAATCGAATGTGACGTGAAAAAGATCCACAACCTCAGAATGTGTTGGAAAGACGCACACTGAAGGCGGATCTCTGATTGTTGCAGCATTTAACGGTGCTGTTAATGTGCTTCCAATTAAGTTTTGTTACTTTTTACAAACAAACCTTTCTAAAAACCGTGAAAGGAATTGAAGGTGTAGCTTTCCGTTGTATCATTTGTTGTTGGGTAGCTGATGCTTGAGGGAAAGGATTTCAGGAAATGATAATACAAAACATATTAAAGTTAATTTTAAGGTGCTTGCCTTCAAAGTAAAGTGTAAAATCTTTTTCTGTTACAAAATGAAAGGGAAAATCACATCTAAACTAAACAGAATTATCATTGAAAAACTGGATATTTTGAACATTTTTGTAAAAAGAAACACAATTCTCACTCGTATCTTAACATTTTAATATCTTTCACTCCCACCGCCCATGCGTGGACCGACCACTGACAAACAAAACTAATCTGAATTAGAACCTGATTATTTTTCACCCTAATCGTAATCTCAAACATCTGCTCGATACCTCATATCGTTCACCACAACATTTAATAAGCAATACACAACATTTCCCTTCCAAATCCATCACTGCTCATCGCAGAACAAACAAGTCGGCGTGCGTAAACAATCCGTTTGGACGGGGCTATCGTGTGCTAGTGATCTGTGAGAACACTACAGAGATGTACTGACTGAGATCACAGGAGGAGATCTCTGTGCCAACACAGTTTACTCTCCTCGCCACGGGCATTTAATTGGCCGACGATTAATCTTTAACTTTTCTTCTCCCCGCACTTACCATGCTTAATCGTCAAGCAGTTAACTCCCGCTGAGGCTGATATTGGTGCAAATTGTACGTCCCTTGCATTTGTATTTGGGGCTCGTGTTCTTTCCTTTAACCAGGGAAAGGTAAGAATTTCCTCCAAAACAAAATGTCACATGATTACTTCTAAATTCCTACTTCTTCCCTGCCTGTGTCGAGGCCCAGGATACTGAAATCCAAGCAGAAGGTAGCAGTGAGTCCTAGTGGATAAAGAAGAAAAGAATATTGCTCTGCTTGTAGCTGTGACTCCCCAGTATAACGGAGTCATTTTCATTTTTACACCTCCTGTGTGCGGTGCGGTCGGATCAGTGTGCATTTAAAACCGGGATCGCCCACCTCACACGGCAACGTCTAGTATATCTGGTCTCCCGTAAATCTGATGCAAGTGTTCAGAGGGCGAGAACTTCATGCCCCCTCAGATGTGCCTCAGATGTGCCAAATGCTTCAGCCGAGCTCAGCCTCTCACTTCCTGCAGGCCCGGGGAGGACATGACACTTGGCTCGAAGAGGCGTCGAGTGGAAAAAAGGCAATCTCCTTTTCTTTTTAATGTAAAAAGCTCCGGCTTTGTTGTGCTTTCCGTGGATATCAAGGCCTTTCCACTCCCTCACTACCCGATCTCCCCCCCCAAAACCCACCCCCTGCTGGTCTCCCACGGGTGTCTCCCCCCTTAACCTGCTCTCTCATCCTCCCGTTCACCCGTGGTTTGAAGTCTTCCTACCACCGGTGTGCCAGCTTGAGACCTCATTCCTGCTCCTTTCCAGACGGGGCCAGAGTCGACCCCGCTAACCCGGCCATTTCATCCAGGAAGACAACTTATCAAACGGGCATCCCAAAGGTGTATCTGTGAGATGTAGCTTTGTTGGCTTGGTTGACAGCTTCATTGCGATAATAGAGGGGACAGTGGGGGTCTTAAAGGTGCTGGGTCGTGACAAACAGGGCAATGCTGCACCTAAAGGGGATGCCCCCCCCCCCCCCCCAAAAAAAAAAGGCTAAAATGAGGAACAATGAAAATCCTATTTGATGGAGTCGGCTTGTCCTGGTCAGGGGGAAGCAGGGTGCCGTGGCTCTTAGCCGTGGCTTTGATCAGGCACAGAAGAGGTAAGCTTAATTTAATGAAATCTATCGGGTAAACAGAGCCACCGGCCTCAAAGAGCCGCACTCGGTCCATCCCAGTAGGGGCGGTGGGGGTCTGTAGACGTCTGCTGTGTCTCACAAAACACAATCCACTTTTGAGGATGTGACTGAAAATGATGCACCGCGCTAATTGTAAACGCATGACGCCTCTGACATGGGCATAATGAGGTGTCAGCCGCAAGCTGTCATTGGCTCAGAGATTTAGAGGTAATTTTGTCAGCCCCTGGAAATTGTTGTCAGGACGCTTTTCTTTTTTGTTTTGTATCAAAGCCCTTCCTTTCTTGCCATTTTCAAAGGTGTCCCATGTTGTATTGTTAGGTCTGTGCTTGAATATGTTTAGCATAAAGCAAAAAATGTTCGTCTACCACAGATTTCAGTTTGTCTTACTGGATTTTAAATATCACGAGATTAAAACAACTGTGTCCAACCTTTCAGCTTGTTCTTAACACTGGTCACAAATATAAAAGGTGCATCTCTAACTTCACTCCACATTAGTTCCAAGCACAGCGAAGCTCCACGTTAGAGCACTCTTGAATACTTTTTAAAAGTGAGTCCAGTAAATCTGCGTCATATTTATTTTTTCTGTACTTCTTTTCCGTGCTGTGTTTTGAAGGCTCTTTTTACTTTGTGTGACTTTTACTTTGAGGCGTCAGCAGACCTCCCACTCGTTCCGTCTGCTGTGGTTGTTCGTCTGTTCTTGCAGCAGATGGCGCTGTTGCTCTAAGAATCTCCTTCGACTGAAGGTACGAGACGAGGACAATATTGGGACACATTTCCCAATTACTTTGCCTTTCTGATGTACGAGTGGCCTTGCTATGATAAATCCTTCCACTTATTGCTATGCCTAACCTCATCCTTTATGCTTTGTAAAGGAGATTGGAAATAATTTCACCAGAAATGTCCTTGTGGTAAAAGCCCATCTAATACAAAGTGCATTATATATATTATGTAGTCTAACTTTATGTATTCTCTTTAGTTTGTCTCTGTCTAGTCGAGCTCTGAAAGCTAATTATGTAAGCTACATTTGAATGAAATAATATCTCCTTGGGAAAGTGTATTGTAAACATTTCATACTCTAACTCTCCCAATTAATCTTTGTGACATTAGGTGTTGCTGCTAATACGTCCCCTCCCTAAGTTGTCTTTGCGGTGGTGAGTTCAACGATCCTTGACTCTGATAAAGGTTAATTGGCAGTCATTAAATATCAAGCTCTGACAAGTTTTATTGTTGAACGCGTCACATTCTTCTGTCATTAAGTGGATGTGGGTGTCAGTCATGGTCAAGGCAGTCGTGCGAATGCACCGAGGGTTCATGGGTAATTCTTTAGCGCTGAGGTGGCGGGATTCATTCAGTCGGATCAACCGCGATGTGGGCTGAATGGAAAGATGTTGTTGATTAGTCATAACGCACTGTACAGTTCTTCATCAAGTATCACGAATGTGTCTGTCATTATCAAGCGTCTTTTGAAATACATATCTCTGCCCAGCGTTTATACGAGGTACGCAAGTTAAATATGATGCGGTCAACTTTCTGTCACCTGGAGTACCGTACGCCTCTTTTTAAAAGTACGGTTTGAAATCGATACGCAATGATTTTTCTTCTTTTCCTTCCTGGCTTCGTTTATTCCATTATGGATATTGAAATAGTTGATGTTTTGTGTGTTTTCTCATATTGAATCCTTTTAGCCAACTGTCCCTTCCAGATTTCTGATTTGTCTTTTTTGGGGACGATTGTTTTGAGTCACGGTCAAGTGTGATGTCTGGACTGCCCTTTATTTAACAACCTTTAGATGGAAAGCCTCCTAATGTTTGCCCAGGGAGATAATTAACGCATTCCCAAAGAGGACGCCAACCTTGAAATATTGAACAGCTTACTTGTGCCAGGTACGCAAGAGGTGAGTGGAATGAGAAAGCTGTTTTCTGTGTACCTGGATATATGACTCTCATAGTTATAAGTGACCTTCTAGAGCGCTGTATTTAATGAATTAGTCCATCGGACCTTTTTTTTTTAAGAGCATCTTGTAAATGAGGAGAATTGATTTAAACGATATGAGTTGATACAAATTAAGGTCATTGTTTTTATTGAATGTGTCAAATGTGGATGCGCCTCAAACGAGGCCAAGGCATACGAGTGTAACTCGTGGTTTGTTATTTGTTCCCCTATCTCAGAATAAATTGACTTGTTGTAGAAGAACTAATGAATGACTCTTGACTTTACAAAACCCGGCTCGGGCTTCGTCTTCCAGTTTTTTTTTTTTCGACGAGACTGCCATCAGAAGTTTTCCATAAG